TTAGTTCCTGGCTCTGAACATGATAGTCATCTATTTTCGAACAGTTTCTCCGACTCCTGAGGAATTATCCATAGGGGATCCCTCTAATGAGTGACCAGGGGTGGTGACTGGTAGCATTGAGAAGGGTATTGCCCGCTGTGGGGTTACGAAAGGTGGTAGTTTCAATTTTGTCTCCCACCTTTTTTATTTTCAATTCTAGGAATTCAGTTTCACATTGATCCATTTTGTATGTTAAATAGATATTTTTATCATTACAATTTAATTCTTCTATAAACGATTGAAATTCTTCTGATGACTCTCCCCACACTACCTGAACATTATCCATATAGCAAACCCACATAACCACATGGTCGTGATATCTAGGGTTTGCGTATACTACGATTTTCTCCTGCAACCTAGGTACAGACATCTGTATGAGGGTGCACATGCTGCACCCATCGCGACTTCTCGAGTTTGGCAGTAAAATTTTCGGTCAAACATAAAAAAATGATTATGGACAATAACATCTAATAATTCTACCAGAAATTCGTTATGTGGGCCCAACAATGGATGCTTAAGTTCAAGCCACTCTGAAATTGCCTGAATTCCTGTCTGGAGGGGAATGGACGTGTATAATGATTCCACATCCACCCCCTGCCAGTAAGCCGTCTACTGGTACCTTCAAATCTGCCAATATACTCAAGAGATGCCTCGTATCTAGGACAAATTATGGTAATGCTTCTGCTAAATGCCTAATTCTTCTGTCTGCATATTGCCCCAAACATTCTTTAGGTCCACCTACCCCTGAGACAATAGGTCTCCCAGGTGGTTGAGTTAGATTTTTATGGACCTTAGGGGTCACATAAAAGGTGGGAATATTATATTCATCTATGTGCAGATAATCCTGTTCTTTCTTCCCTATTAGTCCTACTGCAAAGGTTCTCTCCAGTTTGTAATTGATTTCAATAACAAGGGTGGGAAATGGATTGTCAATGCATCTCTCATAACACGATTTATTATTTAATTGTCTGTAGACTTCCTCAACATATTAGTTTTTCTTCCAAATCACCACATTCCTGCTCTTGTCACTAGGCTTAATCACAACCACTTTGAGATTTTTAAGTTTCCTAAGTGCTCTGCACTCATCAATCGATAAATTATCCTCATCCGGCAAGAAATAGTCCAAGTTCATCTCCCTAATATCTCTAGTTACTGCCTCCAAAAATGTCTGGAGGTATCTATTTTTGGTTATACTCAAAAAAGTCTTGGACTTATTTGATAAGCCGGATGGTGGTGGTGGATCCAGTATATTTTAATCCAACCAGGTATTGCCCTGTATTTACTCAAGTTCACTGATATCCTTAAGATCAATATCCTGAAATTCAATATTAGTGGTTTCGCTACTGTCCTGTACCTCCTTATGCATATACATAAGCTTAAAGCTGACTCTTCTAAGAAAGAGACATACATCTTTATTGATGTTGAACGGGTCCACAGGACAGCTAGGTGAGAAGCCTAAACCCTTTTGCAGAAGTGATACATGGTCTTTCGAAAGCTCTTGTTCAGTGAGGTTGATTATATTCAGGGACTTACCTCTTTTTGCTATTTCTATTTGGCCTGTTTTTGCATTTTCTTTTTGGTACTCTGAGTCACTATATTCTTCTCTGTTCTGTTGGCTGTATATGTTAATTGTTCCATATGACCCATATGACTGCTTACTCATATGCATGTCTGCACGTAGGTTGGTGGGAGAAAACCGTAGTATACGCAAACCCTAGATATCACGGTCATGTAGTTACGTGGGTTCGCTATATGGATGATGTTCTGATAGCATAGAAAGGGTCATTGGAAGATTTCCAATTGTTTAGAGAAGAATTAAATAGTAATGATAAAAATATCTATTTAGCATACAAAATGGATCAATGTGAAATTGAATTCCTAGATTTGAAAATAAAAAAGGTGGGAGATAAGATTGAAACTACCACCTTTCGTAACTCCACAGAGGATAATACCCTTGTCCACGCTACCAGTCACCACCCCTCGTCACTCATTAGAGGGATCCCCTATGGATAATTCCTCAGGAGTCGGAGAAACTGTCTAATATAGATGACTATCATGTTGAGAGCCAGGAACTAAAGGAGAGGTTCAAAGCTAGAGGATATCCCAGGTCAGTACTAGAAGAAGGTAGAGTGTGAGCACTAAAACAAGACAGGACACAGTTACTACAAAATAAAAAACATAAAATTTGGGTTGGTTACTAGATATGGAACACATTGGGGTCAGTTAAAATCTGTATTAAATAAACACTGGCACATTCTTACATTAGCTAAGAGAATATTGGACATAATAGGAAAAAGGCCCTGGATTATAGTGAAAAGGTCCCTACTACAGGTGACACATTGTTCCGTAGTGAATATAGAAGGAGTAGAAGTGAACCTATGTATATACAACCACCCATAAAAGGTATGTTTCCATGTGGACATTGTTCCATATATAGACATGTCGATAAGATTAGGGAATTCCAGGACTCTACAGGTATGAAAAGATATTCCATTAATTCCTTCCTTAATTGTTCATCGGCATGGGTAATATATAGAATAGTATGCCCATGTAATAAGATCTATATTGGCAAAAAAGAGAATTCAGACGAAAAATAGGTGAACATAATGTCCGAAAAATATAGTTAAGTTCTTGATATAAAAATTGTATGTGTGTGGTGTGAAGTTGTGTGTGTGTCATGAATCTAGGCTTCTAAAAAAGTGAGCCTAAAAAACCTTTGTTCTGCTCTTTAAGGAGCAATTCAGCCCCCACCTTCCTAAAAGTGGGCTGGTATACTTTTCTGTTCCTTGTAGTCCCACAATGATGAATGGCAACAGATGTACACAACAAAACCTCAGTCTTCTTCTCTCCCCTCTTGGTTTAGATGGTGTCAAGCAAGTGTGGCAGCAACCAGGTGAGGAGTACAAAGACAAGTGTGTCTTGCCTACAGTCAAGCACGGTGGTGGGAGTGTCATGGTCTGGGGCTGCATGAGCGCTGCCGGCAGGGGTGTATTTACCACAAGGCAAACAAGGCATTTGCCTAGGGTGGCATTTTTCAGGGGGGCAGCGGCATCTTTCACAGGGGCAGCAGCATTTTTCAAGGGGGCAGCGCCGCCACCCAAAAGAAGGGATGGAAGAAGGGACATACGCAGCATGGGGACCAGGTGGGATCTGAGAGAGGCTGCGGGCTGCTTGATGGTGTATGCAGAGCCTGACTCTTGTTCTCGGGGATGTCCGGAGTTGTGAAGGTGAGTGTTTTCTCTCTCGCAGAGGTGGGGATTGCCAGTGTATGGGGGGCAGCGGTAGTGGAAGGCTCTCTTGATTGGGTTGGGGGGCTGAGGTATTGTTCGTCAATGTCAGGCTCTCTTCGTGGGGGAGGAGGGTGTTGGTTGGTGTCAGGGTCTCTCTGTGGGATGGGGGGGTGGGGGGAGCTGAATTTTGTGATGCCTAGGGCAGCACGAAACCTTAAATACACCAGTGGCTGCTGGCACTGGGGAGCTACAGTTCAGTGGGGGAACCATGAATGCCAACATGAACTGAGATATACTGAAGCAGAGCATGATCCCCTCCCTTTGGTGACTGGGCTGCAGGGCATTATTCCAACATGATAATGACCCCAAACACACCTCCAAGATGACCACTGCCTTGCTAAAGAAGCTGAGGGTAAAGGTGATGGACTGGCCGAGCATGTCTCCAGACCTAAACCCTATTGAGCATCTGTGGGGCATCCTCCAATGGAAGATGGAGGAGTGCAAGGTCTCTAACATCCACCAGCTCCATCATGGAGGAGTGGAAGAGGACTCCAGTGGCAACCTGTGAAGCTCTGATGAACCCCATGCCCAAGAGGGTTAAGGTAGTGCTGGAAAATAATGGTAGCCACATAATATATTGACACTTTGGGCCCAATTTGGACATTTTCATTTAGGGGTGTACTCACTTTTGTTGCCAGCGGTTTAGAGACTAATGACTGTGTGTTGAGTTATTTTGAGGGGACAGCAAATTTACACTGTTATACAAGCTGTACACTCACTACTTTACATTTTAGCAAAGTGTAATTTTCTTCAGTGTTGTCACATGAAAAGATATAATAAAATATTTACAAAAATGTGAGGCTTGTACTCACAGTGACAGACAGCCCAAGTGTGGTTCCAGGCTTGCTTTTTATCAAATAAACTGATTGGCTCTCAGAAATCTGGCTGTTTAGTAGAAGGGTAGCTAATATCTGAAAACATGTTCTGCTACCAGATTAATAAAGAGTGGCAGTGAGAAGCTTGTAGACAGTTGTAGTCCGCTTCCTGCACTTTAGGTGGTGGTCGAACGGAGCGGTGCCACAGCTTGAGCGTAAACTAGGAGAAACCTAGTTTCTCTATGATTTCCTGGTGTTCTGGTTGGCTATGTTGCATCCAGGTGACCCCTGGTGGCCATCTTGGGTCAGACGAGTATTTATAAGTCCCTGCACCCAGGTTCTGTCTCACTTTTGCAAAGTGGTCAGAGTAGGGTAAGATCACACATCTGTCAGGGAAATGATTAGTGGCAGGGAAAGCTTCCTGATGAGTAGGGACAGGCTAGGGACATGGAATCCTGCATGGAGGCCCCCATTTTGGAACCAGACTGACCAGGCTGCATTTTGCTCTCTGAAGACAGACACTGTCGGTGCATCTTACCCGCTGCCTCTCTGCACTGAACTGTGAGCTGCTCTCTCACTCAGGTTGTTTGTAAGTGAGCATACTTTTCAATAAAAGTTTTTGAGTAATCTGCAAACGGATGCTGCAGCAGGCATGTTACATTCTGTAAACATGTGGTTGTTAGTTTTGTGTAGGGGTGGTTACAATGCTTTCTTTTTTTATACTTTAGTGAAATGTCACAAAATTACATTTCATTCATCTCCATGCACCACAGCATGCTTTGATGTGTTGTACCATGTTGCAAGGTGTTGTGCTGCAAGAAAATACAATCTCGCCCTTATTGTAGCACACACCAACATAGCACATACACTATATTGCCAAAAGCATTGGGACACCTCTCCAAATCATTGGATTCAGGTGTTCCAATCACCTCCATGGCCACAGGTGTATAAAATCAAGCACCTAGGCAAGCAGACTGCTTCTACAAACATTTGTGAAAGAATGGGTCACTCTCAGGAGCTCAGTGAATTCAAGCGTGGTACTGTGATAGGTTGCCACCTGTGCAATAAGTCCATCTGTGAAATTTTCTTAAATATTCCACGGTAAACTGTTAGTGGTATTATAACAAAGTGGATGCAAGTGGGAACAACAGCAACTCAACCACAAAGTGGTAGGCCACGTAAAATGACAGAGTGGGGTCAGCGCATGCTGAAGTACAGTGCACAGAAGTTGCCAACTGTCTGCAGAGTCAATAGCTAAAGACCTGCAAACTTCATGTGGTCTTCAAATTAACAAAACAGTACATAGAGAGCTTCATGGAATGGGTTTCCATGGCCGAGCAGCTGCATCCAAACCTTACATCACCAAGTACAATGCAAAGCGTTGGGTGCAGTGGTGTAAAGCACACTGCCATTGGACATGTTCTCTGGAGTGACCACCAATCACGCTTCTCTGTCTGGCAATCCGATGGACATGTCTGGATTTGGCAGTTGCCAGGAGAACTGTACTTGCCTGACTGTATTGTGCCAGGTGTAAAGTTTGGCGGAGGGGGAGGATATGGTATGGGGTTGTTTTTCAGGTTTTGGGCTTGGCCCCTTAGTTCCAGTGAAGGGAACTCTTAAGGCATCACCATACCAAGACAGTTTGGACAATTTTATGCTCCCAGCTTTGTGGGAAGAATTTGGGGATGGCCTCTTCCTGTTTCAACATAACTGCACACCAGTGCACAAGGCAATGTCCATAAAGACATGGATGAGTGAGTTTGGGGTAGAGGAACTTGGCTGGCCTGCACAGAGTCCTGACCTCAACCTGATAGAACACCTTTGGGATGAATTAGAGCAGAGACTGTGAGTAAGGCCTTCTCATTTAACATCAGTGCCTGACCTTACAAATGCGCTTCTGGAAGAATGGTCAAACATTCCCATAGATACACTCCTAAAAACCTTTTGAACAGCCTTCCCAGAAGAGTTTAAGGTGTTATCTGCAAAGGGTGGGCCAACTCAATATTGAACCCTATGGACTAAGACTAGGATGCTATTAAAGTTCATGTGCGTGTAAAGGCAAGTGTCCCAAAACTTTTGGCAATATAGTGTATGTGAACTGAAACAAAAGGTCATAAAGCAAATTGCCCTGTATATGCCTTGGGACTGTTGGGAGATCCTGCCCAGCACAGCCCCAAAAAATCTGGAATGAACAAGCCATTAGTGCTGGAAACATGTTGAGACTATCAGCAGATCAGACAGTCTAATGACTAACTAGGGAGTTAAAAAATGTATACTTACGTATTATGTAAAGAGGGGGTGTGTGTGTGTGTATATATATATATATATATATATCATATCTGTGACACTAAGAGACACGCTTATCTCCCTGTGGTTACAGGATCAGTATTTTTAGGAAAATGGTACTGGCATATTTTTAAAACTTAACTTTGCAGCGCAGTGACAAAATTTGTAAATTTATCAGTAGATTTTAAAGTAGAAATAACAGTATTATTTTCTATTCTAAAGCCAGGAGAATACATTGTACACAAGGACTGGCGGTTCAAAGCTTCATGGAAATGCAGCCTTCCACTGATCTTTGCCAATCCAATGTTTACCATCTGTACCCTTCACAGCATGAATAGAATGTTTCCTAAAATGTGTTAAAAATTAATTTCACCCAACTAAATTGGGCTATGGCAAACAGGCCAAATTTTAGCAAACCAATTAATTTTTGCTCATGCAGACATATTTAAATATGCCTTAAAGTGACTCTGTCACTAAAATATTAGTATGTAACTGTACAGTGTTGAGTATCAAATTTGGTACAGTTGTCCTTTAATTACTTGCCTGCTCCCCTTAGTGTAGAACAGCAGAATAAATATTTACTTTCACCCCGATCCAGTGATAGTCAGTATGCAGTCCCACCCTGAACCACGTAACGTTTTGTTCCTGCAGAGCCATGCATATGGTGGCCACTGTATACTCATTTACACATTATTTCATGTAAGTTGTATAAGTACTGCACTCTTATTATAAACAAGACTTAAAGTACAATTCTAGCTAATGCCTAGTTAATCTTAGAAATTATCCCTCCCCCCAACACCTATACTAACTAATCTGTGTAAAAAGGATGTACACTCACCAGTCACTTTATTAGGTACACCTGTGCAATTACTTGGTAACACAAATTGCTAATCAGCCAATCACATGGCAGCAACTCAATCCATTTAGTCAAATAGACGTGGTGAAGACAACTTGCTGAAGTTGAAACCGAGCATCAGAATAAGACTTTGAATGTGGCATTCAATATGACTTTGAATGTGGCATGGTTGTTTGTGCCAGACAGACTAGTCTGGGTATTTCAAAAACTGTTGATCTACTGGGATTTTCATGCACAACCATCTCTAGGGTTTACAGAGAATGGTCTGAAAAAGAGAAAATATCCAGTAAGCAGCATTTGTGTGGACAAAAATGCCTTGTTGATGCCAGAGGTCAGAGGAGAATAGACAGACTGGTTGCTGCAATATTCAGATGGTAGGGTCAGAATTTGTCGTAAAAACATGAAAGCATGGATCCATCCTGCCTTGTATCAACGGTTCAGGATGATGGTGGTGTAATGGTGTGGGGAATATTTTCTTGACACTAGCAAGGTATACCAAATAAAGTGGGGCCGGTGAGTGTATATACTTATCTATTTTCACTCGTCCAGTCAGGTGATCCCATATCAGCCAGCGGTGGTGGCAGAGGAATGGAGAGAGAGCACCCAAAAACAGCTGTGAAAGCTGGGAATGGTGAGGTCACCCATAGGCTGCCATGGTGCAGACTTTGTAGTCGGTTCTGTAGCAATCATTCGCACTCCCTTTTGCTCCAAACAACTGCATTTTGGTATTTCTCTTAAACTCCCAAATCAGTCTCCCTCCTCCGATTTCGCCCCTCCCTCAGGAATGCGTTCAGCGTACCTTACTAAGGGGCTGTCCATACAATCTTCTTGCCAAATAAGGTAATTGGCTTGTACGTTGTAGGAAGATCCCAGTTGATATTGTGTAGGAAAAGAAGCTGTTATGCTTTGTGTGTAGTCAGAGAAGTGAGGACCGTCTGCGTTCTAACATCTAGCAGACCGAGAAAAAGCAGAATCTCCCAACGAAACTAGCAGTAGAGACAAGAAAGCAAATCATCCTGGAGCTCATAAGACTAGAAACTGCTTAACCCAAGGCTGATTGGCAAGTACTTTAACCCTTTAAACTTCTTTCTGTTATCTGTTTGCTGTGCTGTTGTGCTCTGTATGTTTATATATATATATATATATATATTGGTTACATCTTTTTTCTGTAAATATTTCAGGTGCACCCTTTTGACCTTTTAGTAATAAATCTTACTTTCTGAAAGTGTTGAACTGTTTCTATAGCCCTTTAATGTGACTTACGAATCCCTGCCGCTGTAGAGCGCTACTATGAGTGCTTAACCCTCTGTATAACCTGTCTGTGGAGATAGCGGGATACCGACGATTAACCAATCATCCTAGTGTATTGCTGATATTGCCGAGTTTCCTCTTTCTGTGTACAAAAAGGAGGTGGTGGCAGTGTGAAGGGTTAATTGCATAATTAACCTGACCCAGTAACAATCATGTCCAGGCTGCAGGTACACAAATTGTAGTCCATTAGCTGGAAAAAATCTTTGTGCAGGGTGCAGCTGGGCATGGCATTGTTACGCACCTGACATCTCGGTTTTAGATTGGCTAGTCCTTCGGTCACGAGTTTGGTGAGAAGGTCTGAGGTCTGACGCCGTGCCCGTCACAGGTTCCTCCTCTCCCCTGCAGCCACCACTTGTTGACACAGGGGAGCTAGATCAGGATATAGATCATTTTTACACAGATTAATTAATATAGGTGTTAGGAGAGGGGAAGGAGCATTTTTAAGACTTGTTAGGTTTTAGCTGGAATTCTACTTTAAAGGGAAGTTTCTTCTATGTTTCTATGTTTTACAAATAGGGATGAGCTTCAGGTTTTAGGTTGAACATGAGTTTAACCCGAACCCAGCCCGTTAGTAGTTCAGCAAATGGGCAAACTGCTCATATTTGGTTAGTTACTGAACCTCCAGAAATTGTAAATGAGCTGGTGAACATATTTCCATTATCTCATCCAGGTTCCCCAGTACTGTTTATTTATTTTTAATTCCAGGAGTTCTGGGGAGCTGTCAATTGTTGGGAAACTGCGAGGCAGCATCATTCTGGCAACACATCTACATCTTTGGGCTTCCCTCTTCATGATTAATGTAGTACATAGTACACCTTGCTACTTGGATTTTTCATGTTATGTCACCTTTTCATGGATTTTTTCCTGTGTTCACTGAACCTCCTGTGAGCTGAATTTTCACTCATCGCTATATATAGGGATTTTTTTTTAGAAAATCAAGTTTTTGCACAAGCATAAATGAAAAGCAGATGAAAAAAGGTCTTACATGTCTTCTGACAAGTAAAGTTTTTAAATTGGTGTTGCTCTCTCATTTATCAATCTTCTCCAGGGCCTTAGCTTAACTCCTGCTGAAGCCCAGACTGCAACCCTTGACTTAGTAAAGCTGCCTCCAGGGATAGCATCCCAAAGAAAACTGGAACACTCCTGGCAGAGGAACAGCACTCTGTGCTTGCCTCCCAAACATTTATCACCTCCACAGCCACCTTCTGGATGCCTCCTTCCAAGGATTGGCTGGAGCATGTTGAATATTCATGCTGATCATTTGACTCTTCTGACCCTATATTCTTTCAGAAGTAGATGGGAGAAATCAGACACCTTACTGGAAACCCTGACCAGACTGAAGCAATGCTGTTCCATTGACTGCAGTGAAGCCAAAACCTAAATTTTGCCTGGAAGCCTAGGTGTTACATCCACTCCCCACCCCCCACACACACACACACACTTAAAATCCGGCCCTGTCCTCATGGGCCAAAAAATGGCCAAAAGAGCAGAATGTCCTGTTACAAAAGTAGATTGGGAAGAAGAAACACAGTACTGTAAGCACTGTTTGAGGTACAGCAGTGTATATGGCATGCCACATAAAAGAACTCGAAGTGGCAAAATCAATCACAAGCTGTCACCAGGCAATGAGCCACCATGTGCCAGGTACTCTTGAATAACAATCACAACAGCCTATCTAAGGTAGAACCCTAGCACTAGCTAATCACAGTTATTAGTGAATCAATATACACTCACTGAGAATAAAAGCATCAAACAGCGCTGTTCTAATGTCAAACCTCAATTTTCCCACTTCTAAGATGGCCATTGGAGGTTGTGCATGTGCGGTGATGTGTTTCCTAACAACCGCATTAGTCAGAATGTCATCAGGGGTTCCTGATTCCCGATTTGATTTGAACTCATAGGGTTACTAGGAGTGTATTTCCTGTGTACCTTCCTATCCACTGGAGCCATAATCCAGAGAACACCTCACAGGGTTACTAGAAGTGTACTTCCTGTGCTGTGTACCATAATATCTACTGCAGCCATAATCCTGAGAACACCTTGTGATGTGGGTGTCAGACCACCACTCTCTTCAGAGACTTAGGAC